ATAATATATATATATATATATATATATATATATATATATATATATATATATATATATATATATATATATATATATATATACAGGGTGAGGTGAAAAAACTGCAACCAACTTTAGACTGCTGTCATTTCTAAGCCACTCGTCCGGCAGCTGCTAAAATTATTCCAATGACAGCTCATTATATTGTGTACAAGCGTAAAAAAGAATTTTGGTGAGAATTTTCCAGAAAAAAAGTAATTCGTGATGGAATTCAAGCGTGATGTGTGATTTCTTTATATTTGGCTGGAAAACCACAAGTGGCTATCGTTAGAGCACTCCAGCATTTAAATGTGAGTAGATCTTTTGTGTACCGTACCATCGCTCGTTACCCTGATATTGGTAGCGTAGCCCGACGTCAAGGAAGTGGACGGAAGAAAACAGCAACATCAGTAGAAATGGTTCGAAAGTCGTCGAAGTGGCCGAAAAATGGCTCGTGAGCTGAACATATCGCTGAACAATATTCCATTCGTCAAATATTAAAAAATGAGCTCGAGGTAAAGCCATTGAAATTCCAAAAAGTGCAAGAACTTATACCGCAACAAAAGGAAAATAGACTCAAAGGAGCTAAAGAGTTGCTTCGCTTGGCCGAAAGTGGTTTTCTCCGATGAGGAAACATTTGCTGTCCAGCAGTTTGTAAACAAACAAAATGATCATGTTTACTTGCCAAGGAGGTCAGCTGAAAATGTGCACCTTCGGTTGGCCACCAAAACTCAAACCGGCCATGGTGATGGTGTTGGCCGCCATAACAGCCGGTGGTTGCTCACCGCTCGTATTTATCTACCATGGCATCAGGATAAATGCCGAATATGATAGCGAAAATATTTTGGAGGGTGTATTAAAGCCTTGGGTACGCCAACATTTTGGCCGCAGACCTTGGACATTCCAACAGGACTCAGCACGCGCCACCCAAGAATGGTTACAAAATGAGGTTCCTCGCTTCATTTCCAGCGCACAATGGCCACCAAAATCTCCGGATACCAATCTGTTGGACTATTGCGTCTGAAGTATTTTGGAAAGCAAGGTTGGCACTAAAAAATACCAAAGTGTCGATCGGGAATGGGCCAAAATACCGCAGAGCAACATTCGGGCAGCGTGTGACGGTTTCTTTGGCCGTTTGAAGGCCCTAATTCGTGCCAAAGGTGACCAATTCGAACAAATCTAAACTTATTCTAATTTTTTTCTATTTCCGACATTTTTGTTTTGATTCAATAAAATTAAAAAAAAAAATTAAAATTTATGGCGTCTCATGATAAAATGATACAGATAGGCGCATCAACGCAGTTGCTTGTACAAAAAATTGTCAAAGCAATTGTGAAATTGCAATATTTGAACCAAAAATATCGAAATTTTGTAAAAATTGTTGAAAATGCATTTCGTAACAACCTCCAACTGGCATCATTTAAGAAAAGCTTTTAAAATCCATTTATTTTTGGAGATATTTTTAAAAATTTTTGACATAGCAATGTTCGTGGGTGTTGATGCATCTACCTCTATTCTTCTACCATGGTTGAACTGTTGGTAAAACTGGAAATTGGAGTGCTAACGTTGAACAATTCTATATCTATCGAACTGCTATCGGCGTGCCATCGATGAACTATCGATTTGTTATTTATTAGCTATCGGTGTTCCAGCAGCTATCGTTCAGCTGTGATTCCATGAGATGTCGATGAGCTATCGATTAGCCGTTGAAATGTTGTCTATGGTCCATCTAAAAGCTGTCGGCAAGCTATGGATGAATTAGCGACAACGACGACAAGTATTCCACCTGCTATGGACAAGCTATCGATTATCTTTCGATAAAATATTGACTGTAATCAATAGATGGATCGACGTGATATCGATAAAGTGTCTATGAGCAATTTACATACTATGAACGAGCTTCCCACTATCTATTCACGAGCTATTGAATAACTGTCAAAGTGTTATCGATAAACCTTCGACGAGCTATCGATGTGTTATCAATTTCCTATTGACTACACTCTATGCAATATTGACATGTTATCGACTTTCTATTGTATTATAGATAATAAGTATTTATCGATAGTATAATAGACAAGTAAAAAAATTGTAAGTACGACCAGGCAGAACTTTGAATATCCTCCACCATTGGGTACAAATTTGGCAATTTTCAAAAAAAAAAATACATTAAAAATTCTGTTAAAATCCTCAAAATACCGAATGTAGCCGTATATTAGGGTCCATACGACGACGTGGACCTGCATAGGAAACTTTTGACATAAGCTATTATGATATTCAAATGCTTAACTCGAAAAAAATTTGTTTATAATCATCAAAAAAACCGAATATAGGTAGGTACCGTTATATGGGGGCTACTACAGACAATTTTCTGTCTTAGGCTGTAGAATTCACTACGAACTTCAAATACCAAATTTGAAACAATTGCGGTAAAAAATATCGCTAACATCATCAAAATACCGAATATCGGGAGGTACCGTTATATGGGGGCTATACGAAGACGAGGACCTGTACAGACAATTTTCTGTCATGGACTGTAGTATCCGCTATGAACATCAAATATCAAATTTGAAAGAATTCCGGTGAATAATGTCGCTAAAACCAACAAAGTATCGAATATCGGGAGGTACCCCTATATGAGGGCTATACGAAGACGTGGACCTGTACAGACAATTTTCTGTCTTTGGCTGTAGTGTCCATTACAAACTTCAAATACCAAATTTGAAACAATTCCGGTAAATAATGTCGCTAAAATCATCAAAATACCGAATATCGGGGGTACCGTTATATGGGGCTATACGAAGACGTGAAACTGCACAGACAATCTCCTGTCATATGCTGTAGTATCCATGCATGGCCCATTTTCTGTCTTAGGATGTGGTATCCATTACGAACTTCAAATACCAAATTTGAATCAATTCCGGTAAATAATATCGCTAAAATCATCCAAATGCCGAATATCGGAGGGTACCGTTATATGGTGGCTATACGAAGACGTGGACCTACATAGCCCATTTTCAATACCAAAAGCCCTGCAGACATAATACACATTTGAGAAAATTGTTATCAACTTACTTCATTTCGTTCGGAAGCTAGAGTGGAGTTCGGAAGCTAGTGGACATTGATAAATCGGCATAGAATTTTATGCTGATCAAGAATATATATACTTTGTGGGCTGTAAAATGTATATTTCGAGGTGTTACAAACGGATTGACAAAGTTAATATACCCTCCATATAACTGTACCTCCCGCTATTCGGTACTTTGCATTAGCGACATTATTCACCGGAATTCTTTCAAATTTGGTATTTGATGTTCGTAGTGTATACTACAGCCTATGACAGAAAATTGTCTGTACAAGTCCAAATCTTCGTATAGCCTCCATATAAGGGTACCTCCCTATATACGAAATTTTTATATGATTTTAGCTACATTTTTCACCGTTTATTTTAAGTTCCGAATTTGAATTTGGTAATGACTTATGACAAACAATGCCGGCTATATTCGATATTTTTAAAATTTTAACAGCATTTTTTAAGGGTTTTATTTTCAAATTCGTTCCAAATGGTAGATGGTATTCAAAGTTCGGCCCGGCCAAACTTACTCTTTTTTAATTTTTTTTTTTTTTTTTTTTTTTTTTTTTGGAATCGGTTGTTGATTTCTCCGTCGAGACGAGGTTGGTACGATACCCATAGTATTCATGTACCATTGCTGTGTAATCGATTGTTAGTTATCGATAATTATTTCGAGTTCCTTGTTGCTTTCCATTTCTCTTCATTCTTGTAGTGTTGTGAAGTGAGTGCTGTTATTCCGGGTTATATGTTGTTTTTATGAATGAAGTAGCCTATTGGCTACTCCCTATGCAATATCGCCATGTTATAGACTTTCAATCGTATTATAGATAATAAGTATTTATCAATCAAATAAACAACTCTTGGTTTCTTCCAGAACTGCAGGAATGTAAGAGTTTTAACTACGATAGCCCATTACCCCTTTATATCGAAAAATAGTTCAAAAATAGTAGATTCTGGCAGGTTCTGGATCAGACCATACATTAATGAATTATTTGTAATTTCACTTCTCAGCAAAACAAGAATTCAGCACCTGGCCTCTCTTAATGGCAATTGTTTGCTCCTTTACAGGCGCTATTATTCACTTACATTACGATGCAACCATATTTCTGCAACTTAACCACTTAATATATCCAGTTAAGCTTTGGGAAAAAAGAAAACTACTTCTGAGACTTCCAACCTGAAATCCATTTAAAAAATAAAACTTTTTCCTCCCTCCATTCTCCTGAAATCACGTAAAAATTACATTTACTAGAGCAAACTTTTTCGCTAAGTTGGCACACAAAGTTTGTGGTCTTTCCGGTAAAAATTACAAAAACTTTTTGTTAATTTTGTTGTTGTTGTTCTTGTCATTTTTTATGCGGATCCTAACAACTAAGAGCAAGATTGCACTTTAACTTTAATGTGACCTCTGGGTTAAATGGACAGGCATAGAGGAACATGACTGTCTATTAATGTCAAACTGTCTATTTTAAGAAAATGTAAGGAAAGAGAGAAAAAGGAAAAGAGTAAAACTTCTACAGAGAAAGGGCAGATGGTATGGAAAAAGGGTAAATTTCCTAAAAAAAAACATTCAGTAACAGCTGGTAAAGGTGTTTCAGAATTGCCCCCCTAAAATACATTCGTATGAATATTTCAAAAGGATGTCCAGAGCCAAGAAATGCCACATAAGTTTTTCACTGGGCCATGAATGTGGAATACGAAATAAAAGAAACATCAAAAGTAATAGAACCAAAAGAACAAAAAAAACGTTCTCTTTGAAAAATGTAAATATATTTCCTCCAAATCGCCTTGCCATCCAAGGAAATGTTTTTTTCTGCTTTGTCTTCATACGTCCTCCTTTGATCCTTTTTTGAATTTGAAACGTTTTATTTATTGCTTGTTTTCTTACTGCCTCTTTTTTGTTCTTATTTTACAGCCGATAAAACTGATGAAAAATTCCATCGTCGTGCTTCCGTCAAAATGGGTGTTCGTGTCATTTACCGCACCGATGTTTTCAATCATGGCATTCATGGTCCGGAAAATTTTGCCGCTCTCTTCAATAATCCCGTTTCCTCGCCACCCGTTACATTGGCCTGCACCCAGACCACGGCTGTGGCTTCATCTGCAGCCAACACCCACACATCGGCGGCATCGATGGCATCATCTCATCACTCAAATTCAGCGGAAGCAACAGCACATTCTCATCACGATTCGTCAACTGCTTCGTCCGCAACGGTAGCACCCTCATCCTCGTCCGGTGTAAATGAAACTCGTTCATCGTGTGGCGGCAAAAGCCGCAAGTCGGAACGTGGTGACTCTTTTCCGAAATTACGTTTATCGCCGAAATCCTTTCGTTTCAGCAGCCGTTTTGGCCGCAGTAAAAGTGAAGTGGAAAAATGTCCCAGTGATCCGTTTTACAATTATAGTAAATCATTTCAGGAGGTAAGAATGTCATAAAAGAGAAAAATTGTATTTCCTTGTGATGGGAAATGGTAAGATGGAGTGAGTGGAAAATTCGTTGGTGTTGCATGGCAGGACGATCATTGAAAAAAATTAATGAAAAGATCTCTGAAGGTCCTGCAAACAGTTTTAAAAAATCCACACCTTTGCATTCTTAGGTCCTTAAAGTTGTTTCTTATAAAAACCACGCCTTTGCCTATGCATTATTAGGTACTTTAATTTAACTTCCATAGAACCCACGCCTATGTCTATGCATTATTAAGTCCTTCAATTTGCCTCCTATAGAACACACGCCAATGTCCATGCATTATTAGGTCCTTAGATTTGTCTCCATGCATTATTAGGTACTTCAATTTGTCTTCCATAGAACCCCCGCCTATGTCTATGCATTATTAGTTCCTTCAATTTGTCTCCTATAAAACCCACGCGAATCCAAGCTTATGGCTCCAAAGATCCTTAAAAATATTAAAAATCCAAGCTTATGACCCTTAGGTCCTTGATAAAATATTTAAAAATAATCCACGCCTATGGATCCAAAGTCCTTAAAATTACTGGAAAATCCACTTCTATGGCTTCAAAGGTCCTTAAAAAATTGGAAAATCCTTAAAAAAATTGGAAAAAATATTTAAAAATAATCCACGCCTATAGCTTTTTAGGTCCTTGAAAAATATTAAAAATCCAAGCTTATGGCTCCTTGATTAAATATTTAAAACAAGTAAGCAAAGGCTACAGTCGAGCGGGGCCGACCGTTGAATACCCTACAACACTATAATAAACGATACTGTTTATATTGGCGAGATACTCGAAAGAATTCCACAACATTTATTATTGGTTTTTGACTGAAACGCATCTATATGAGATACAGCCATTTGACTATATTATTCCACGAAATCAGCGTTAACGAAATAGTCAGAAGTGCGTCTTTCCTGTATTTGTGAATTCTCCAAAGAGTCACGGGAGTGGACATTTTCGTATTTTGTCTACAAAAGTTGGCAAACTATTTCGCACATTGAATATTTTTGGATGGCCATCCAAAACTGCTTGGCTTTTGCAATGTCCGGTAACCCCCATTCAAATGTGCGTGAGGATCGGGCGATAATTATGACCTGCTGACAATTTTGAAGTTTTTTTGGTCCATTTCAATCCCTAAATATATGGCGATCATCTCCAAAAAGAGTAGGCTTCTATTCTGACCCTCATCTGATCCCCATGCCATATTTCGTTAGGATCGGGCCATAAATGCGATCTGTATATGATATCCTGATATTCTAACTACTTAGTTTTGTTAGCTGTAGAAATATTACCAAATGAAATTCAAAATGAAAATATGCCAAAAATATGACAAAATTGAAAAAATATGAGCAAATTTTACAAAATCAATATTTTCATCTTTAGAGAGATATTTTATGCGATTTTTTTAGACGTTTTTTCTTTCCTGCCGAGAGGCCATTCTGAATTAATGAGAACTGTCGAAATCAGTTCAGCCATTCTCGACATATAAGAGATTTTTCAAGCATATCTTCTTTGATAGACATATATATCGCATATTTTTGCTATATATTCGATTTTGTGTATCTTAACATCAATGTAAAAATCAGAAGTAACCTTGTCATGGCTTTGTGATTTCGCCAGGATTTAAAATATTCGCGGTTTGATGAAAAATTTTGAATTTTTTCAACACAAAATATATGGTCTATTTTACCCGCTAAATATTATCCGATGACCACCCAAATTGGTAGCCTTCTTCCCCGCCCTAAACTCTAGCTACATGCGAAGTTCCGCGTCGATTGGTCTATAATTGCGACCTGTATAGCTACTTCAAAATCCGACATTTTTTCAGTTTTTGGTCCATTTTGTCCCCTAAATATTATGCGATCATCTCCAAAAGAAATAGGGTTCTATTCTGACCCTAGCCCAACCCCCATTCTAAATTTCGTGAAGATCGGGCCATAATTGCGACCTGTAGAGTGATTACAAATTAACATGGACAGACGGACAGACGGACAGACGGACGGACGGACATACATAGCTAGATCGACTCAGCTCGGCGAGCTAGGAAGATCCATATATACTTTCCTATGTGGGAAATCAATATTTCGAGGTGTTACATAATTTTTGGCCCAATCAAACTTATAATACCCCCAACACTAGTGTTGTAGGGTATAAATAATCCATGCCTATGGCTCCAAAGATCCTTAAAAAATATCGGAAAATCCACGCTTATGGCTCTTTTGGTCCTTGAAAAACATTATTAAGAAATCCACGCCAGTGGCTCCAAAGGCCCTTGAAAAATATTGGAAAATCCACGCTTATGGCTCCTTAGGTCCTTAACAAATATTGGGAAATCCACGCTTGTGGATCTTTAGGTCCTTGAAAAAACATTAAAAATCCACGCTTATGGCTCCTTAGGTCCTTGATAAATTATTTAAAAATAATTCAAGCCTATGGCACCTTGTTCCTTGAAAAAATATTTAAAATCAACGCTTATGGCTCCTTGTTCCTTGAAAAAATATTAAAAATCCACGCTTATGGCTCCGTAGCTCCTTGAAAACATTATTAAGATCTCCACGTCAGTGGCTCCAAAGGTCCTTGAAAATTATTGGAAAATCCACACCTACGGCCCCAAAGGCCCTTAAAAAATATTGAAAAATCCACGCCTATGGCTCCAAAGATCCTTAAAACGCTTATGGCTCCTTAGGTCCTTAAAAAATATTTAAAAATAATCCATGCCTATAGCTCCAAAGGTCCTTAAAAAATATTGAAAAACCTCCTTTCCTCCTTAGGTCCTTAAAAAATATTGGAAAATCCATGTTTATGGCTCTTTAGGTCCTTGAAAAAATATTAAAAATCCAAGCTTATGGTTCCTCAGGTTCTTGATAAAATATTTAAAAATAATCCATGCCTATGGCTCCAAAGATCCTTAAAAAAATATAAATATAAATATAAATATATAATAATAAAATCCACGCTTATGGCTCCTTAGGTCCTTGAAAAGATATTAAAAATCCACGCTTATGGCTCCTTAGTTCATTCAGAAGATTACTATGAAAATGAGAGTCCTTCTAAAAGTTATTCAAAAGAATTCTTAAAAAATCAGGATAGTCCTTAAAAATGTTCTTTTTAAATCCTTACAAGTGGCTCTAAAGGTCTACCTTTATGTGCCTTAAAAATATTTCCAAACTTGTGGCTCTTTCGGTCCTTGAAAAATATATTATTTAAAAAATTCACGACTGTGGCTACAAGATTCCTAAACAAATGTTTTTTTTTTGTTTTTTTTTTTTAAATCCACGCTAATGGCTCCTTAGTTCCTTGAAAAAAATATTAAAAATCCACGCCTGTGGCTCCAAAGTTCCTTAAATTTTTTTGGAAAATACACTTCTGTGGCTCTTTAGGACCTTTAAAAAAGTATTGGAAAATCCACGCTTATGGTTCTTTATGTCCTTGAAAATATTTTATTAAAAAAAAGCCTATGGCTCCATAGATCCTTTAAAAAGTATTAGAAAATCCACATCTATGGCTCCATAGGTCCTTGAAAAATATTATTAAAAAATCGTTTATTATTCCTTTGAAAACTATTATTAAAATAACCAGGCTTATGGCTGCAAAGGTCCTTAAAAAAATATTAGTAAATGCACAAATATGGCCCCAAAGGTCCAAAAAAAATGTTGGAACATCACAAAAAAACCACGTTTATGGCTCCACGTTTATGGCTCCATATACCCTTGAAAAAATATTTAAAAATAATCCACGCCTATAGCTCTTTAGGTCCTTGAAAAAATATTAAAAATCCACGCTTATGGCTCCAAAGATCCCTAAAAAATATTAAAAATTCAAGCCAGGACATAAGGAGCCATAACCTTATGTCCTGGATAAAATATTCAAAAATAATCTATGCCTATGGCTCCAAAGATCCTTAAAAAATACTGGAAAATCTACACTTATGGCTCCTTAGGTCCTTGAAAAACATTATTAAGAAATCCACGCCGATGGCTCTAAAGGTCCTTGGAAAATCCACGTCAATGGCTCCTTAAGTCCTTGAAAAAATATTATTAAAAAACTCACGCCTGTGGCTCCTTAGGTCCTTAAAAAAATGAAGAATCCACGTTTATGGTTCTTTGGGTCCTTGAAAAAAGTCCACGCCTATGGCCCAAAGGTCTTTAAAAAATATTAGATAATCCACACCTATGGCTCTTTAGGTCCTTGAAAAATATTTTTTAAAAATTCACGCCTATGGCTCCAAAAGTTCCTGAAAAAATATTATTAACAAGTAAAAAGCTTTAAGTTCGGTCGGGCCGACCTTTGAATACCGTTCATCATTTGGAACGAATTTGGCAATTAAAAAAAAAATAAAATCCGTTTAAAAGTCTGTTAAAATCTTAAAAATACCGAATGTAGCTGTTATATTAGGGTCTATACGACGACGTGGAACTGCATTAGCAACTTTTAGCCATTACAGTATTCAAACACGAAACTAATAATAAAAAAATAATTCATTACGAACTTCAAATACAAAATTTGAAACAATTCCGGTGAATAATATCGGTAAAATCATCAAACTACAGAAAATCGTGAGGTACCGTTATATGGGGGCTATATGAAGACGTGGACCTGCAGAGACAATTTTCTGTCTTAGGTTGCACTATCCATTACGAACTTCAAATACCAAATTTGAAACAATTCCGGTAAATAATATCGCTAAAATCAATAAGGTACCGAATATTGGGAGGTACCCTTATATGGGGGCTACATGAAGACGTGAACCTGCACAGACAATTTTCTGTCATAGGCTGTAGTATCCATTACGAACTTCAAATACCAAGACAATTTTCTGTCTTGGCGACATTTCCGCTGAATAATATCGTTTAAATCCCCAAACTACCGAAAATAGGGAGGAACCATTATATGGGGGCTATACCAAAAAGTGGACCTACATGGCCAATTTTCAATACCAAAAGTCCTGCAGACATCGTATATATTTGAGTAAAATTGTATCAACCTACGTCATTTCGTTCGAAAGCTAGAGTGATTTCCACAGATGGACAGCAGAACAGACGGGTCGACAAAAAGATGGACGGACATCGCTAAAATGTATATTTCAAGGTCTTACAACCGGAATGACAAACTTAATATAACCTTCATAAAAAGGTGGAGGGCATAAAAATATTCTAACACGTGTGGTAAAAAATAAATATTCCACTTTTTGTAGGAACCTTAAAAATTATTCTTTTTTGAAAATCTACAATAAGTAGCTTTTTTGAAAAAAAAAAAATTCTATAAAAATTCATAATAATATTTTGTTAAAAATCCATATCAGAAGTCCTTGAGAGTATATTTTAAAAATATTCATTTAATTAAATTCTTGAAAAATTCACCCAATTTATGTTTTCTTTGTTACGATCCTTAAACCGTTTCTTTTGCACTCAATCGCTTTGGTATTTGATTCGTTGCTATTTACGGATCTTAACCACATTTCAAGCCCCATTAAACTTTCACCTTGTCCGTTAATTATTGTTATTAAAAGTTATTATGATTTTCTCAAAAGCCATAAAAATGGCATTTCCCCTTTGATTCCTTTATTTGTTCGTAACCATTGACAGACAGGGAAAGTGCAGGAAGGACTATTTGAAATCGAATGTCTGCAGAATGCAACAACCACTAATTGAATTTTTTTCCTCCACTCTGAACTTTGTGGATGTTCATTTCTTAGCCCACAAACTCAGTAAACATCCTCCTCGAGAAGAAGAAGAAACAATTTTCAATTTTTTTCCTTCTACACCATCACATTTCGCCTTCATTCTCCATCTCCATCATAGAACACATCATCATCAGCTATTCCATCAACCTTGTGTCTTATGATTGTTCTTTTTTTGTGTTCTCTGCTTGTTTTTCTTGGTATCTGCAATGTAATTATTGCAACAACCACACTTACAACAACAACAACAACTACATTCCTTCCGGCCATAATGAATGATGTCCTGGTTTGCAACGATGTTGCAAAAACACTGATGACGTTCTTGACTACTTTCCTTGCCAATCTATGGATATGCTCCTGCTGTCGGCCCCTTACATCTTGCCTCCGCCGTTGCCAGTATGACAGTGTGGCTGGTGTCACCGCCTGCGGTGGTGGCGGTGGGCCACAAGGTGCCGTGGATAAACCCTTCCTACTGCAAGATGGCCGTGTCGGATTACGTGCGAGTTTGGATAAGGCCTGGTACACCCATGGCGAAGATGTTTGTGTAACCATAAATATACGCAACGATAGCAGGAAGACAGTACGAAAAGTTCGGGTAAGTCGAGTGAGAAAAATTGAAGAGGGGGAGGGGGTGTTTCCATTCTTGAGAATCCACCAAAGTGTTATCCGTGATTAAATATTTGTAAGCCATAACGAAGTTGTTGTCATTGTATTTTTGTTTTTCTTTTTTCGTTTTGTTTTGGATGGTAATGAAAAGAAAATAATGGAAGGATGCAGGGAAAATGCATGGAACCACATCATAAAATTAGATTGTAATTTTATCGTATTTTTGTATTATCCTGAGAGAGAAGAGGGAGAAGAAGAAGAAGAAAAATAAGGTAAAAGGTTTTAAAAACATTGAAGATAATAAGTGTATTAAAGACAAATTGAGGGAGAGAAGAAAAGAAAATTGCATCAACTTTAAAAGTTTGCCGAAGACATTATAAAATATTTTTTTAAAAAGTCCTCGTTTGGTGGAGGTCTTGAAAAAAAACTCTTTAAAGATATCCACACTTTGTGGAGGTCTTGAAAAATATTCCTTAAAAAATCCTCCTCTGGAGAAGACATTACAAATATTAAAAAATAAAAGCTATATATTCCGCCGGGTCGAACTTTGCATACCCTCCACCATTTGGAACGAATTTGGCAATTTAAAAAAAAAAAACCATTAGAAATTCTGTTAAAATCTTAAAAAATACCAAATGTAGCCGTCGCATTCGGGTCTAAACGAAGACGTGGACCTTCATAGGGAACGTTTGTCATAAACCATTACAATATTCAAATGCGAATTTGGTTAATAATGTAGCTATAGCTATACCAAAACGTAGACCTGCACGGACAGTTTTCTGCAATAGGCTGTAGTATCCATTATCACCAAAATACCGAATATCGTGATATACCGTTATATGAGGGCTAAACGAAGACGTGGACCTGCATACAAATATGTTTGTCATAGGCTGTAGTAATAATTTTGAAATAATTCCGGTAAATGATGTCGCAGAAATCATGAAAATACCGAATATCGGGAGGTATCGCTATATGGGGGTTATACGAAGATGTGGACCTGCACATATAATCTCTGGTCATAGGCTGTAGTACCCATTACCAACTTCAACTACCAAATTTAAAACAATTCCAGTGAATACTATCGCTAAAATCATGAAAATACTGAATATCGGGAGGTACCGATATGCGAAGACTTGAACCTACATTGCTCATTTTCTGTCATAGGCTGTAGTATCAATTACGAACTTCAAATACCAAATTTGAAACAATTCCGATGAATATTGTCGCAAAAATCATCAAATACCAAATATCAGGAGGTACCGTTAAATGGAGGCTATACGAAGACGTGGACCTGCATAGACAATTTTTTGTCTTAGGCTGTAGTATCAATTACGAACTTCAAATACCAAATTTGAAACAATTCCGGTGAATAATGTCACTAAAATCATCAAAATAGAGAATATGGGGAGGTACATTTATTTGGGGACTATACCAAAACGTGGACCTACATGGCCCATTTTGAATACAAAAAGTCCTGCAGACATAATACACATTTGAATAAAATTTTATCAATCTACTTCACTTCGTTCGGAAGCTAGAGTGATTTCCACAGACGGATAGACAGACGGTCATCGCTAAATCGACACAGACTTTTATGCCTATCAAGAATATATATATATATATATATACTTTGTGGGGTCTAAAATGTATATTTCGAGGTTTTACAAATGTAATGTATAGGTTCACGTTTCGGTATAGCTCCCATATAAAAGTACCTCCGTATATTCGGTATTTTGATGATTTTGAGGATGCAGGTTCACATCGTCGTATAGACTGCAACATTCGGTACTTTTAAGATTTTAACAAAAATTTTAACGGGTCTATTTATTTATGTATTTTATTTATTATTATTTTTTTTTTTTTTTTTTTGAAAATTGCCAAATTCGTTCCAAATTGTGGAGGGTTTTCAAAGATCGGCCCAGCCGAACTTACAGCTTTTTACTTTTTTATTTTTTTAATTCACTTTATTCTATAAAAAAATCCTTGTTTAGTGTCCTTTTTTAAAAATTACTCTAAAACTGTATTATCGGGACCTTAAGGATCCTTGAAGATCTCAAGCTCATAACTATTTAGATCTTATAAAAGATATTCCTAAAAATCCACGTTCATCTTGTCCCTGAAAGATACCTTCTAGAAAGTTTGGATTTTTCAAAAAAATCTTTCATAAATCTTAAAAAAAAATTAGAACAGTGTTCACATGTTTGTTCGGGATACCATGGTATTTCGTTGTTGAAAAATGCTAAGGTTTAAGCCCAGTATTGTTTTTTAGATAAAAACAACGTTTGTTTATTAGTGGAGAAAGATTGTAATGTTTACAAAGGGTAAGGCATGGAATACCTAGGTTTCGGAAAGAGCAACCAATCCTCATCTCGTTACTTGGTAAAAAAAGTTTTTTTTTTTCCTGGGGGAGAATATCCCTAGACAAAAAGCGAGGGAACTGATGAGGATAGTTAAGCGTAACTATTTTGCAACAACGAAATTGTAAGGTATCCCGAACAAACATGCTAACATTGTTCTAAATATAAAAATATTATTTATATAATTATATTTTATATTTAAAAGCGCAATATTGCCTGCCGATTGCGAACTTTTTCTCTTAGCAGAAAACTTCCATGGTTGCTCCCTAATATCCTTCTTAAAATAATGAAATCTTCTCATACTTGCAACTACAGGGTGAGATGAAAAAACTGCAACCAACTTTAGACAGCGGTTATTTCTAAGCCACTCGTCCGACAGCTGTTGAAATTATTCCAGTGACAGCTCATTTTATTGTTTACAAGCGACCACAAGCATTTTGGTGAAAATTTTCCAGAAAAAAAGTTATTCGGAATGGAATTCAAGCGTGATAGTGTGATTTCTTTATATTTGGCTGGAGAATCACAAGTGGCTATCGTTAGAGCACTCCCGCATTTAAATGTGAATAAATCTTTTGTGTCTCGTACCATCGCTCGTTGCCGTGATAATGCTGACGTAGCCTGGCGCCAAGGAAGTGGACGGAAGAAACCAGCAGCATCAGCAGAAATGGTTCGAAAAGTAAAGAAGAGACTTGATCTAAACCCACGTCGCAGTGGCCGAAAAATGGCTCGTGAGTTGAACATATCGCGACAAATATTGAAAAATGAGCTCGGGGTAAAGCCATTAAAATGCAAGAACTTACACCGCAACAGAAAGAAAAAAGACTCAAAAGAACGGCTTCGCTTGGCCGAAAGTGGTGAACAGCCGAATTTGGTTTTCTCCGATGAGAAAACATTCATTGGCATCAGAATAAACACCGAGTATTATCGCGAAAATATTCTGGAGGGTGTATTAAAGCCTTGGGTACGCAGACCTTGGACATTCCAACAGGACTCATCACCATCGCTCATCGCACTCAGCACGCGCCACCCAAGAATGGTTAACAAATGAGGTTCTTCGCTTCATTTCCAGCGCACAATGGCCACCAAAATCTCCGGATACCAACCCGTTTAACTATTGTGTCTGGAGTATGAAGGCCATAATTCGTGCCAAAAATGACCAATTCGAACAAATCTAAACTTATTATAAAATTTGATGCTATTTCCGACAGTTTCTGCTTTCATTCAATAAAATTAAAAAAAAAAAAAGTAATAAAAGTTATGGCGTTTGACTTTGTTGCAGTTTTTTTTTATCTCGCGCGGTTTACCCTTCATAGTATGGTGTAGGAAATAAAAGTTTTAGAGTTTTAAGATTTTGTTAAATTCCTGACCAAAAATCGTGGTTTATTCAAAATCTTATTTTAAGTCGATTTTCAAAACTGATTTGGCCATAATTGAGAATTTTTTTATAGCCTCTTATGTATTCACCACGTATATGAAAATGTATTATCTTAATTTTCCTAGTTTCTCTTCTATGTCCCTGGCACGGATGTTTCAGTGAGCCATCAATTAATGTGTTTTACATCGTCAGTGAATGTCTAATGACTTTTCTATTTCCAACCGAACACTTTATCCGACACAATATAAATAATAATTTCATCCAAGTAATGATTAAATTATGATTGCTTCCAATACAAATGACAACTCCCATGACCTTGTAGTTTTTTTGTCTGGTATGACCTTCACAAAATTAGAAATAAAGACAACAACGACAATAACTTTTAATTAACACCTGAACACCGTTGCCGTTGCCCTTCTGCGGACAGTTTTATGGCTTTACTAATCTAATTTATACATTTATGATGTTTCTAATAAAAATAGAATAAGAAGAAAACGACGAACCAGAAGAAGGAAAATGAAAAAGTCCTGAATATTAATTATGGTATTATTAGTTACAAACCGGCGAACAACTTAGCAACTTATTTCGGGGCATAATGTTGCAAATTTATTAAGTTATTTATATGCTTTAACAACAACAAAAGATTCTCTTTTCTGAAATGAGCAAATGTTCGCAGAACGTGTTAATAATTATAACTTATCATTATACTATCAGCCATATGACTAGAGAGGGTGAGATAAAAAAGCTGCAACGAAGTCAAACGTCATAATTTTTACATTTTTTTTAAATTTTATTGAATGAAAGCAAAAAATGTCGGAAATAGCATCAAATTTTAGAATAAGTTTAGATTTGTTCGAATTGCCTTCAAACGGCCAATGAAACCGTCACACGCTGCCCGAATGTTTGCTCTGCGGTATTTTTGCCCATTCCCGGCGAAGCGCTTGCTTGAGGTGATCGACACTTTGGTATTTTTTAGTGACAATCTTGCTTTCCAAAATACTCCAGACACAATAGTCCAACGGATTGGTATCCGGAGATTTTGGTGGCCATTGTGCGCTGGAAATAAAGCGAGGAACCTCAAGTGGTAACCATTCTTGGTTGGCGCGTGCTAAGTGCGATGGTGTTGAGTTCTGGTCCAGGGTCTATGGCCAAAATGTTTGCGTGCCCAAGGCTTTAATATTTTCGCCATAATATTCGGCATTTATTCTTATGCCAGGGTCGATCAACACGAGCGGTGAGCGTCTGGCTATTATGGTG